GACTTCAGCCTCTTCTGCTACGTCGGTTGCTCAGGCAACAAAAATCAAATGTGTGGCGGTAGTAATTGCTTCGTTAACCTCTTGAGTTAGTTTTTCAGTTTTTTTCAAATTTCATCAATTTTGTTAATCCATCCACCATCCATCCATATTCCATACACACACAAAATACAAACACTTGTGTACTCAGAACACTATTTAAAAAAATACGTATGTATAATATATGCATGTGTACACACACACACACACACAAACACACACTCTCTCTTTCTCTCTCTTCCTATCTCTATCTCTCTTTCTCTCTCTCTCCTTTTCTCAATCACACACACACACACATACACACACGCACATAGACACGCACGTACACACAAACACACACACTCATATACATATACATACATATAGCATCAGCTCAGATGCTACCACAGATAAGAAACCACATCATCCACCATTGTCTTGATGGGGAAAGGCCACAGGCACTCTGCTCGAATGGGTGCAAGCCCGGATGGAGCGGGAAGAATTGTAACACCAGAGGTAGTTTCTTTTAAAAATTTATCCAAATTGAAAATAGATTATTAAATCATTCTCACTCTCTTTCTCTCACTCATTCATTTTTTCGTTCATTAACTCAATCGTTTGTTTGTTTAATCAATGATTAATTCATTTTCAAGTTTCTTTTCTTTCCATCCGTATATGCAGTGACTTACTTAGTGTCCACACACTCACTCCTTCATTTAACAATCATTTCTGTTTTTTTTTCATTCATTCGTTACTCTACTCATTCGTTTATTTATTTAATCTTTCGTTCACTCACTCACTCACTCACTCACTCACTCACTCACTCACTCACTCACTCACTCACTCACTCACACATTCTGTCATTCATTCAGATTGTACAGTATTCAACGGTGATTGTGGTTCTACGAGAATCTGCCAAACGACAATTATAATTGGCGGAAAATATTCAGAATGCGTCTGCCAGAACCCACAACACTACCAGGATAAATATGGAAACTGCTTTCGTTCGTATTTAAAATTGAAATTTAAAATTAAATTTAAGACAAATAACATCATCAACAACAACATTAACAACAACAACAACAACAAAAACAACAAAAACATTAACAACAACAACATCAACAACACTAACAACATTAACAACAAACAACAACATCAACAACAACAACACTAACAACAAACGACAACATCAACAACAACACAACATGATAAAAACAAATAACATCAAACAACAACATCAACAACAACAACCACAGCCTACAAAAACAGAAAGAACGCAGCGTTCAGAAAATCTGTACTAACATCATCTTCTTCCTTCTCATCATCATCGTCATCATCATCCTCTTCCTTCTCCTCTTCCTCCCCGCCATTTCCGGGTCACGTGATCGACGGGAAAAAGGCGGGAACGGATATTTTCCCGCTGCTACTTGGCGAATGGGTGGCCGTTGACCTCTTGCAAGTGTCCAGAGTACACAGCGTGGCTCTACACCTTCAAGATGACTGCGGTCAGTAGTAGTAGTAGTAGTAGTAGTAATAATAATAATAATAATGATAATAATGATAATAATGATAATAATGATAATAATAATGCACACACCACACACACACAGTACACACACACACACGCACGCAAACAGATACACACGCACACGCATACACACAAACAGATACGCATACACACACACAAACAGATAAACACACACACACACGCACACACATTCGCACGCACATCGCATGATAAACTCACACACAACCGATCAACCAACGGCAGACGATCAAACACCCCCCTACTCAGCACTGATCGGACTGAGGGCAAGTATGCAAAACTTCAGAGGAACCAACTTCAAACTCTGCGGAAGAATCAAACCTACTGACTTTTTTATGGAAAGCCAACAAGATACGCCCTCCAACGATAAAAAATCACCTATGGAAAGCCAAGCGGAAGGCGGGAACGGGCAACTTGTCGTCTGTACTGGTCGCCCGTCTGACGCGCGCTTTGTCATAGTACAAATATCCGATGAAGATGATGGTGATGATGGTGGTGGTAATAGTAATGGTGACGATGGCGATAGTGGTAGTGGTGGTGATAAGGACGATGGTGGTGGTGGTGGTGGTAAGAGTGGTGGTGGCGAGGGTGGTGAAGTTAAAAAAAAGTTTTTACCCAATTCGTCTAATCAGGTTTTGAAAATTTCTGAAATTGATGTCTATGAAGGTTAGTGAATGAGTGAATGAATGAGTGAATGAATGAGTGAATGAATGAATGAGTGAATGAATGAATGAATGGATGAATGAATGAATGAATGAAGGAATGAACGAACGAACGAACGAATGAACGAACTGCAGAACAAACGAACGAACGAACAATAAATAAATGAATGAATATTTAATTTATTTAATTGATGACATAAATTGAAGAGGACGAACAGGTTGAAGCTCTCCAATACGTCGGCTGCTTCGGGAAAGTTAGTGGCGCCAAAAATACGACGACGGACGTCGTCTCGCTGGACAACTGCTTCAGGTTTTGCTTTGCCCTCCACAGTCCTCATCTCTATGTCGCCATCTCGGTTTGTTTATTGTTTTTTCCGTATTTTTTCAAAAATGTCAAAAATTTAAAGTTATCAATTTTTCAAAAAAAACACTAAGGTTGGTGCTACTTTCAAAGGTTTAACCAGCATGCAGAACAACAAGCACAATAAATACAACAACAACCACAGCAGCAACAGCAACACCAACAACATACACATAGACCAACAACAACGCACGCAACAAAACATACACGCTACCAACAACAACAGCAAAACAACATCAAATCAACAACCACAACACACCAACAAAACATACACGCCACCACCATCACCACCACCACCAGCAACAACAACTACAAAAACCACAGATATCGAACACTAACACCTCGACGTGCCACTGCAATCCCCGTCTCGACCTCTGGCTAAACTCTGAAAATTGCACCTTCCGGTGCAATCCGGAACAACTATCCTGCGGCGGTCCCAACGTCTTTTCCGTTTATTCCGGTTTAAAATTGATTGATTGATTGATTGATTTAATGAATAAAAGAATAATTAATTGGTTAATTGATTGATTATATAATTTATTTTCTGCTCACTCATTAAATATTTAATTATCTTCCCCTCACATGTTAATATCAATTTTGTTATTTTTGAATGTCTTTCAGGTAAAATCAGAAGAGCCGAATCGATCGGTTGTTTTTCAGATCTGACGCCATCATCATCATCACCAACAACATCATCATCAACAACTCCATCATCATCGTCATCGTCATCAACAACAAAGTCATCACCGCCATCACCATCCTACCGACACACAGTCGTGCCATCATCGTCTGCCTATAGAATCTGCCTTGAGCACTGCCGAGTCCAGCACAGCGAATATTTCGCCATTAAGGTTTCTGTTTATTAAAAATGAATTAATTTCACTTACGCTGGCCAAAACTGTGATTTTGTGATTTAACTTTTTGGTTTTCCTCTTTGGTTTTTGCTTCATTGGCTTGAATTTGCTAGTTTAAGGCTTAAATATTATATTATATATTAATATTATGTTGTAAATTGAAACGCTCGTAACTAGCGACACCGATTTTATAACTTCAAAGATCTCTATATCTCTAATACCAGTGTTGTAGATCCCAACGATCGTCAAGTGTTTGTCATTTTGTAGGTTCAAGATTTCCGATAGACGAAGACAACTTGATTCGAAAGCAAACTCTGTTGAACGTTTATTTGAATACCAGCAGTAATAGAAAGGATAAACTGTTCCGAGTAACTACGTAAACCAGAATCTACGACTTCTCTTCAAACCTCGCTACTAACTTCGCTATTCGCAATCCCTAATGCTCCATTCCACTCCATTCTATTTCACATCTAAGCAGGATATAATTAGAAATGTGTAGTTTAGTTTGGTTGGCTAACATTATCACCACCGTCATCATAATCACGAATTCTGTTGGTTTTCTGAAGGTGTTTGGGTTTTTATGGGCAGTCAGTTATATAATACTTAACTGCAGTGGCTCTTACACAGATGCTAGTCTGCTGAACCGCTTTAAACTTTGTTATTATCATCATCATCATCATCATCATTATCATCATCATCATCATCATTATCATCATCATCATCACCATCATTATTATTATTATTATCATTATTATTATTAACGTAATAATACAAATATTTACGACAGAATATGGAAGATTGCTTTTGTGGTTTTTCCACAGACCAGCTGAATAAGCAGGTGATGACGATGATGATGCGGATGATGATGCGGATGGATGATAATGACGATGAGGATGACAACGATGATGATGAAAATGTAAAAAGAGATGGAAATGCTGATGATGGTGACGATGATGATGGTGATGATGACGATGTGGTTGATGGTGATAACAATACTTATTATTATTATTTATTAATATTATTATTATTAAATAAACACCCATAAAGGTGCATATTCATGCCTGCAACTTGATCTGCTACGACGCTAACAGCAAGAGGTGTGGGTCCAGGCAGCATTTCTCGGTTTATAAAAGTTGGAAATTGTTTTAAAAATTGAAAAAAAATATTATTTTTTATTAGTTATTATCATTCTAGAATTATATATATATATATATATATATATGATGACGATGATGATGATGATAATGATGAGGACGATGATGATGATGATGATGATAACAATTCGTGACAGTTTTTTCGCGGTACAACTTTCTGGAGCCGGATCAAAATTTCCACTTCTGCATGAACGAGCTTGAGGTCGTCGTCCACTCGTGCGAACCAGGGATGTGCTTGCCCGGCTGGACCGGAGAGATGTGCGATGTCAGAAGTCGGTTTTCAGTTGCCGCGTTCGAATGTGAATGCTATCACCACCATTCCTAATAATTATTATCATCATTTTTCGTTTTTTTTTGGGGGGGGGGTATAGCTATGCATTTCCTAATCATTACTCTGTCATATGATCACGTTGAAAAGATTGCTTAGAGAACAAAGGCAGTTGTCCGCACAGTTCTTTCGGTTGCGTGACGAACATGGTGAACAAGAAACCGTTTGATGAGTGCTTGTACCACAAACCCATTCTGAAACCGAGTTCGACATGTTTTTTTTTTACATTTCTCAGTTTAATTTTTAAGAATTTGAAAAAAGAAACTATAAAATACAAAAATTAATTTCAAAAGTTAGAAGGCTATTTTTAACGTTCACATCTAATTCAAACATTTTAATAGGTTACGCTAATGTGTGTTTGTGTATGTATGTGTGAGTGTGTTTTGTGTGTGTGTTTTTGTGTGTGCGTGTGTGTGTGTGCATGCGCGCGCGCGCGCGTGTGTGTGTGTTTAACGTTCAATCTCTAATTCGATCAGAAATATCATGTTTACACGGCAGTATCACCGGGCCTAAAACATTTGGCTCTGATCATTGTGCTAACATTCTCGGCGCTTGCGATCCTGGAGGTCATCATCTTCATCATAATCCAGAAGAGAAAGGACTAGCCTAAGAATATGTAATGTCATGTAGTTTAGTGTAATATGACATCACGAGGTGTTGTAATTTAATGTCGTGGGATGGGTTGTTGGAATTCGATGCAACATGACTTAATTATGTAACGTAACGTAATGAGACGATGATTTGATGAAATATGGCCGAATGTGAGTTTTTTATGAATTATCATTATGTAAGGTGGCCTAATATGACGTAGTGTAATGTAAATTGGATGTAAATGCGACGTAATTATGATGTAATTATTACGTAAATTTAACAAAATTTAAAATTAAATTTTGTCAAATTGACAGAATCAGAACTTTGCGAATCCTCATAAATGGATGATGTTTCTTCAAAGAAATAATTTTGTTAAAATGAATTAAAATCACAAAATAATTATTTAAAGTTTTTTCAAAAATTTTTTTTCAAACATTTTGTTGCGTTTTTATGGTAACCTTATTAAAATGATAATTTTTTTTCAAGTACTTCACATATAAACGCCCCGGTTTACGATCGTCTTCTTCTTCTCGCTTTTTCTTAACTCGTGTTAAACACTCTTTTGCCAAATCTGCTTTTGCTTTTTCTGGTCCTTTTCTCTGGAACTCTCTGCCTACTTCTCTAACTATTTCTCCATCGCTTGCGAAGTTCAGAGCGGATCTCAAGACCCATCTGTTTTCAAAATTCATTGAGGAGCGCTGTTGAACATCGCGGAAATAGCGCTTTATAAGCTAATTGATTGATTGATTGATTGATTGATTGATATAATTAGAATAAATATAACGGCCTTCGCTCGTTTTTGACGGTCGAACAAGGAGCATACTTCCGGAGGGAAATTGGAGGGTGATTTTTTATCGCCCAAGTCAAAAGTTACGATCGTATATTTACTAATTTCGGAATATTGCTTTTATTTAAAATTTCAAAATGTTTTAAAAGGTGATACTAGATGCTGTTTTAGGATAGATATTGCTGTATAACGGTTAAGTATCTTTTTGCATTTTAAATAAAAATTTTTTGTGAACCACCAACAACACTTAACTCATTAACTGTAACAACACTAAACGATGACTAATTAGTAATTAAATTACTAAACTCTAATAATTAAACTAAAACTAAACTCTACTGATTCTAATTACTAATTGAAATAAATAACATAACACTAACGAACATTAACAGATTAGACTACTAGAAACTACCAACCACTACACTACTACATACTACTACTACACTAACGACTTCCTAAGATCCTAAATTCTATTGCTTGATTGGTTTTAAAATTTTCATTTACAATGCTTAGGTCTGGGAATAAAAAATATACTAAATTAAATAAATATATTAAACAGCTTATCAATCAATTTTATAAAATAAACACTTTGTAATTTCTTCAATTCAAGCTTCAAACTCCCCAAGCTAACTTGCAATTTAATTAAAATTTATTAATTATGAGTGATTCAAACTAAATTTTTTTTCATTTAATGTTTTACAAAATATTCCTCATTCTTAAATTGTAGTACATGTTGTTATTAAATTTATTAAAGATAATGTGTGATTCCAGTGATTCATCAATCCATGACTTGTTAGATCATGATCATCAGTTTTAAAGAATCCCCATCACCATAGCCNA